GGCTATAATAAAAAAGACAGACAATAACAAGTATTGGTGATGATACAAAGAAACTGGTACCCTCAGGCATTACTGCTGCTTTGAAAAACAGTTTTCCAGTTCCTCAAAAGTTAACCATAGATATGCCATATTACCCAATGATTCCAATCCTAAATCCATATATATACCCCAAAGAATTGAAAACATATGTCCACATAAAAGCTTGTACACAAAGATTCATAGCAGCATTATTCAAAGTAGCCAAAATGTAACCCAATGTGGAGTGGCCATATTAACTTCAGACCAAGCAGACTTCAGAACAAAGAGTGTTACCACAAATAAAGAGGGTCACTATGGTGGTTCACACCTGTGATCCCAGCACTTTGGGAGGATAAGGCAGGCGGATCACCTGAGGTCAGGAGTTCAAGACTGGCCAACATAGTGAAACCTCATCTCTATTAAAAACAGAAAAAATTAGCCAGGCATGGTGGCAGGTGCCTATAGTCCTAGCTACTCAGGAGGCTGAGGCAGGAAGATCGCTTGAACCCAGGAGGCAGAGGCTGCAGTGAGCCGAGACCCTGCCACTGCACTTCACCCTGGGTGGCAGAGTGAAACTGTGTCTCAAAAAAAAAATAAAAGTGAATTCTATATAGTTGAAATAGTTAACTATAATGGTGAGAATGAACAAACAACAGGAAGGAAAGAAGGAAGGAAGAGAGGGGAGGGAGGGAGAAAAAGAGGAGAGGGGAGGGGAGGGAAGGAAGGAAGGGAGGGGAGGGGAGGAAGGAGGATGGGAGGGAGGGAGGGGGAGAGGAGGAAGGGAGGGAGGGGTGGGGAAGAGAAGAGAAGGCAGAGAAGGAAGAGAAGGAAGAAGAGGAAGGGAAGGAAGAGAAGGAAAGGAAGGAAGGGAAGGCAGGGAAGGAAGGGAAGGAAGGGAAGGCAGGGAGGGAGAATCAGAAAAGTTAAATCTCTGAATGTAAAGAAATATTATGAATACCTGGCCAGGCACAGTGGTTCACACCTATAATCCCTGCACTTTGTGAGGTCAAGACGGGTGGATCACCTAAGGTTGGGAGTTCAAGACCAGCCTGACCAACATGAATAAACCCCATCTCTACTAAAAATACAAAATTAGGCTGGTCTGAGTGCAGTGGTGTTTACAACTAATTGATCACAATATGTTACAGATTTCTTTGTCCCTTCTCCATTCCCACTGCTTCACTTGATTAGCCTAAAAAAAAAATACAAAATTAGCCAGGCATGGTGACACATGTCTGTAATCCCAGCTACTCAGGAGGCTGAGACAGGAGAATCACCTGAATCCAAGAGGCAGAAGGGGCAGTGAGCCGACATCACGCCACTGCACTCCAGCCTGGGTGACAGAGTGAGACTCTGTCCCCCCACAAAAAAAAAAAAGAAAGAAGGAATACATTAACCAATTTATCTTGCTTATATTTTTCTTTCTAAGTACACACAACAGTGATATTGTATTAGTTATCTGTCATTGCGTAACAATATTGCCACAAACTCAGCAACTTAATATACATATTTATTATCTCACAGTTTCTTTCTGTTGGCCAGGAGGCCCAGCACAACCTAGTAAGGGCCACAGTTGCACTACTAAGGTCACTGAGGACAAAAGGCCACAGTGTCATACACACTTTATCCCTAGATGCCAAATCTGAGCACAGGAAAGAGCTCAACCTTCAGCCAGAACTAGACCTAGGATTTGGACTCCCTAAGTCCCTCTGAATGGAATCCAGTCCCTCCTTTCTCATGCTCTGTCTTAGTCTGTTAGGGCTGCCATAACAACATATCTCAGACTGGATCATTTATAAACAATAGAAATGTATTGTTCTGGAGGCTGGGAAGTCCCAGATCAAGTTGTAAGTGGACTTGGTGTCTGGTGGGGCCTTCTATGCGTACTTACTCACATGATGGAAAGGGCAAACAGGCTCCCTCAAGCTTCTTTTATAAGGGCATTAATCACCTCTCAAACACCCCACCTCCCAATACCTTCACATTGCAGGTTAGGTTTTAACATATGAATTTTGGGAAGACACAACATTCCGATCATGGCACCCTAAGACACACACTCCTTAGTTAAGTATATCTGAGTTTCCCATTCCCTGGCCCCTGCCAATCCCTTTAAGATAACTTTCTTTCAGCCAGGCACAATGGCTCACACCTGTCATTCCAGAACTTTGGGAGGCTGAGGCAGGTGTATCACCTGAGGTCAGCAGTTCAAGACCAGCCTGGCCAACATGGTGAAACCCTGTCTTTACTAAAAATACAAAAAATGAGCCAGATCTGGTGGCAGGCACCTGTAATTCCAGCTACTCTGGAGGCTGAGGCAGGAGAATTGCTTGAACCCTGGAGGCAGAGGTTGAAGTGGGCCAAGATTCTGCCACTGCACTCTAGCCCGGGTGACACAGCAAGACTCAGTCTCAAAAAAAAGATAACTTTCTTCCATGTTCCATCATCCCCTTCTTCCTTTTGGTGAAGTTTGAGATGGACATGGCTGTCAGCCACATTTTTCAGCCTTCCTTACAACAAAGGGGTGCCCATAACCAAGATTTAGGCCAACAGAATGTGAGCAGAAGTGATGTTTGCAATGCCTGAGCCATCTCCTATGGCAGAGAATATTCAGTGTTTATCAAATGTATTCCCCCTCCCTCTTCGACAAATGCCAAGATATGTTTTGAGCCTCTCTTGCAGTAGGCATGGGAAGAGTTCTGGCCAATAAAATGCAATAAAAAATAACAGGTACTTCCAGGCATGATAGCATGTACCTTTAATTCCAGTTACGCATGAGGCTGAGGCAGGAGGATCACCTGAGCCCAAGAGTTTGAGTCCAGCCTAGGCAACATAATGAGACTTCATCTCAAAAATAGGGTCATTTCATCATTATAAAGTGGTTAATTTGTCAAGAAGATAAAACAATCATAAATGTATATGCACCAAGTAAAAGAGCTTCAAAATATATGAAGCAGAATTTGACAAATCTAAAGGGGAAAATATGTAAATCCACAATTAGAGTTAGAGATTTTTAACACTACCCTCTCATTAATTGCTAAAACAAATAGACAGTCCATAGGGATATACAAGACTTGAACAACCGTGTCAACCAATTTTACCTAATTGGTATCCATAAGATACTCCAAACAACAACCACATTCTTTCCAACTGCACATACATGCGGGGCCACAAAAGAATCCTCAATAAATTTTAAAGGATTAAAGAGTATCTTATCTGATTAAAATGGAATTAAATTAGAAATCAATAGCAAGATATATAAGAAAACTGGAAATATTTAGAAATTAAGCACATTTATAAATAATCCAGGATCAAAGAAGAAATCACAGTGGAAATTAGAAAATATTTGGACTTAAAAAAATTTAAAATGCAACATAACAAAAATGTGTAGAATGCATCTAAAGCAGTGCCTGAAGGGAAATGCACAGCTTTAAATGCTTTTATATATATATATATGACTCTACCATGAATTAGGGTAGTGCAGTGGGTAGAAGCATGAAACCTGAAACTAACCTCTCTGGGTTCAAATTTCGTTTCTGTCACTTAGCTGTGTGATCTTGGACAAATAATTTAACCTCTCGGTGTCTCAGTTTTCTCATCTTACAATTCATATAATAATAGTACCTAACACATAGGGTAACTATGATAATTAAGTCAACTTCTATCTCTTGAGTGGTGTTTGCAATATGAATATAATGTAAACTACATGTGTAATAGTAAGTTTTCTAGTAGCCACATTTTAAAAGATAAAATTGATATTCATAATATGTTTTATTTATCCCAATATTTTCAAACTACCATATTGTCAACATGTAGCACTAATCCCATTTCAAGTGATTAATGGCTACATGTGGCTAGTGGCTACAAATGGGATAGCAGAGCCCCAAAGTACAGTATTGGGGAACTGAGACAGTTCCTGGCATGTTGGAAGTGCTTTCTGTGGTTGTTAAATAAATATCAAGAAAGATTTAAAAATGTTTCTGTGAATCAAGAAGATAAAACATCAAAAACCCTGGGCATGTACCCTACGCATATTACATGAGTGAGAGTTCTGTCCCAAAGGTGGTGTGTGCTTAAAAAAGATTATTTAAAAATCAAACTAAAGAAAGAGAGAGAGAGAGAGTTCTGTCTAGGGAGTGTCCTGAGTCAACTCGGGCTACTGTAGCAAAATACCATAAACTGAATAATTTAATGTTAACAAGCATTTATTTCTCAGAGTTCTGGAGTTTGGAAGTTTGAAATCATGAGTTGGGTTTTTGGTAAGGGCTCCCTTCCTGGTTTACAGGCAGCCGCCTTCTTCCTCTGTGCTCACATGGTAGAAAGACAGCAAGCTGCTAAGTGTGTTGGCTCATGTCTGTAATCCCAGCACCTTGGGAGACCAAGCAGGGAGGACTGCTTGATCCCAGGAGTTCAAGACAAGCCTAGGAAACATGATGAGACCCCCATCTCTAAAATAATAATAATAATAATAATAATAATAATAATAATAAATTTTAAAAGAAAGAGAGCAAGCTAACTCTTCGGCCTCTCCTTATAAGAGCACACATCCCATTCCTGACCTAGTTACCTTCCAAAGTCCCCACCTCCAAGAATTATCACATTAGGATTAGGGTTTCTGGGGGGATGTATTACACTACAGCCAATATCTTACAAACTGTAAGTTACAACCCACTACAGGTTAGTGGAATCAGGAGATCACAGTAAGTTTCTTTTCTGAAACATGAAAAGAAAAGAAAATAGCAGAATGCCTGGTACATAGGGTGAGTTCTGTTTCTAAAACTTTTGTTTCAGAACATATATATGTGTATATGTGTGTGCATATGTATATGACCAGGTGTGATGTAAAATGTAGTTTTTGTTGTGAATCTCATTCAAAAAAGTTTTCAGGCCACTGACTAAGATGTATACAAGAGGAGAATTACTAGGTCTGAGCAAACATACATGTTCGACTTGCCTCTGCGGCTGAGACCGCGGTATACACTCACCAAATTCTGTTTCCTGTTCCTTTTTCTTTCTTTTTCTTTTTTTTGGACAGCATATGACTGAGATACATACAGCATGGAAGTAGCTCCTGTTCCTTTTTCAAAGGCGCATGAGAAAACATATTTCTCCATCTGCTTGCAGTGAGATGAGACCACATGACTGGTTCTGGACAAGGAAATATAAGTTGAAGTGACATATGTCACTTCTAGACCAAGGCAATGAAAACCTCCTAAGAGATTCTCTCATCTCTCTCTTCCCCAACGCTGGCAACATAGAGGCCTTTAGGAGAGATGAAAGAGCTTAGGTTACAGAGTTATCACATGAAGGAGAGCTGCCCTGAAGGGTAGCTGGGAGTACATTGGACTTTGTGTTAATGAGAGATAAACTTTAACTCTGCTGAGATTTTTAGAGTTGTTTGTTACTGCACTGTGACCTACTCTATCCTAAATTATACACTCGCTGACATGATTGTATCAATATTCCCATCAGCATTATATGAGAATTTCCATCTCCCCATACTTATTTATTCATTCAGAAAATAGTTCTTGGCCAGGCATGGTGGCTCATGCCTGCAATTCCAGCACTTTGGGAGGCCAAAGCGGGTGGATAACCTGCGGTCAGGAATTCGAGACCAACCTGACCAACATGGTGAAACCCCATCTCCACTAAAAAAAGCAAAAATCAGCTGCACATGGTGGTGGGTGTCTGTAATCGAAGCTACTCAGGAGGCTGAGTCAGGAGAATCCCTTGAACCTGGGAGGCGGGGGTTGCAATGAACCAAGATCACACCATTGCACTCCTGCCTGGGAGACAGAGCAAGACTGTCTCCAAAAAAAAGTAGTTATTGATAGCTGGGCATGGTGGCATGCACCTGTAGTCCCAGCTACTCAGGAGGCTGAGGCAGGAGGAACGCTTGCAGCCGGGAGGCAGAGGATGCAGTGAGCCAAGATTGCACCGCTGCATTCCAGCCTGGGCAACATAGCAAGACACTGGCTCAAAAGAAATCGTGAGCACTACTAGGTTCCTGGGTCTATTTTGGGCACTGGAGATACAACAGCAAACCAAGCAGACAGAAAATTGTGACCTCATGGAATTTATATTTCAGTGGAAGAATCAAAGTATAAATATAATGAAAAATAAGATAACATTGTATTTTAGCCAGTGGTCACTGCTATGAAAAACATTAAAGCCAGGCGAAGGGAATTGGGAGTGTTGGGTTGCAATTTTCCTTTATAAATTGTGTTTCTTATTGATACCTAACAGATGTACATATTTCAGGGAGCGTGTGGTAACTTAATACATTTATGTAATTTGTAAAGATCAAATCAGGGTAATTAGGATATTCATCACCTTATATATTTTTTCTTTATGCTAAAAATATGAATTCTTCTCTTCTAGCTATTTTGAAATGTACAACAGATTATTGCAAACTATACACTCATCTATCAAACAGCAGATCTTATTTCTTCCATCTTACATGTCTTACAAATGTAAGGATACATTTGTACCCACGAATCAATCTCTCTTCATTCCCCCTCCACCCAGCCCTTCCCGGCTTCTGGTAGGAATCACCTGTCTGCTCTTTATCTTCACGAGATCCGCTTTTTTAGCACTGCACATGAATATGAGAATACAGCATTTGTCTTTCTGTGCTTGGCTTATTTGCCTAACGTCATGCTGCAAATGTCAGAATTTCATTCTTTTTTATGGCTGAATAATATTTTATTGTTGTATATGTAGCGCATTTTTTTTCTTTTGAGATGAAGTCTCACTCTGTCAGCCAGGCTGGCGTGCAGTGGCATGATCTCAGCTCACTGTAACCTCTGCTCAAGCAATTCTTGTGCCTCAGCCTCCCAAGTAGCTGGAATTACAGGCAGGAGTCACCACATCTGGCTAATTTTCGTATTTGCAGTAGAGATGTTTCGTATTTTTAGACCATGTTGCCCAGGCTGGTCTTAAACTGACCTGAAGTGATCCACCTGTCTTGGTCTCCCAAAGTGCTGTGACTACAGGCATAAGCCACCACATCCAGCCGTATGCCACATTTTCTTTAACCATTCGCTCATCGATGGACACTTACACTGACTCCATATCTTGGTTAGTGCGAATAGCGCTGCAATAAACATGTGAGTGCAAAGAGAGAGCGTTTCCCCAACGTTTTCCTCTGGTAGTTTCATAGTTTCAGATCTTAGATTTGAGTCTTTAATAGATTTTTGTTGAATTCTTGGATACACTGACTTCCTTCCTTTTGGGTATATACATAGCATGGGATTGCTGGATCATATGGGATTTCTATTTATAATTTTTTGAGGAACCTCCATACTGTTCTCCAGAGTGGCTGTAGGAATTTACATTCCCACCAACAATGTACGAGGGTTCCCCTTTCTCTACGTCTTCAGCAGCATCCACTTTTTTATAAAAGCCGTTTTAACTGGAGTGAGGTGATAGCTCACTGTGGTTTTGATTTGCATTTCTCTGACAATTAGTGATGTTGAGCATTTTTGTATATACCCCTTAGCCATTTGTATGTCTTCTTTTAAGAAATGTCTATTGCGATCCTTTGCCCACTCTATTAGTCAGGGTTCTGTAGAGGGACAGAACTAATTAGGATAGATGTATATATGAAGCGTAATATATTAAGGAGTACTGAGTCACATGATCACAAGGTGAAGTCCTACAATAGGCCATCTGCAAGCTGAGGAGAAAGGAAGCCAGTCCGAGTCCCGAAACCTCAAAAGTAGGGAAGCTGGCTGGGTGCACTGGCTCACACCTAATCCCAGTACTTTGGGAGGCCAAGGCAGGGGATCACCTGAGGTCGGGAGTTCTAGACCAGCCTGGCCAACATGGTGAAACCCCTCTTCTACTAAAAATACAAAAATTACCCAAGCGTGGTGGCACATGACTGTAATCCCACCTACTCGGAAGGCTGAGGCAGGAGAATCCCTTGAACCTGGGAGGCAGAGGTTGCAGTGAGCTAAGATGGTGCCACTGCACTCCAGCCTGGATGACAGAGCGAAACTTCATCTCAAAAAAAAAAAAAAAAAAAAAAAAAAAGGCCAGGCATGGTGGCTGACACCTATAATTCCAGCACTTTGGGAGGCCGAGGCGGGTGGATCACAAGGTCAGGAGTTCAAGCCAGCCTGGCCAATATGGCGAAACACCATCTCTACTAAAAATACAAAAATTAGCCAGGCATGGTGACACGTGCCTGTAGTTCCAGCTACTCGGGAGGCTGAGGCAGAAGAATTCCTTGAACTAGGAGGTGGAGGTTAAAATGAGCAGAGGTTGTGCCACTGCACTCCAGCCTGGGTGACAGAATGAGACTCTATCTCAAAAAAAAGAAAAAAAGTAGGGAAGCTGACAGTGCAGCCTTCAGTCTACAGCCAAAGGCCCGAGAGCCCCTGGCAAATCACTGGTATAACTCCAAGAGTCCAAAAGCTAAAGAACTTGGAGTCTGCTGCTCAAGGGCAGGAAGCGTCCAGCACGGAAGAAAGATGAAGGCTGAAAGACTTAGCGAGTCTGCTCATTCCATTTTCTTGTTCCTGCTTTATTCTAGCCATGCTGGCAGCTGATTAGATGGCACCCACCCAGAATGAGGGTGGGTCGGCCTCTCCCAGTCCACCGACTCAAATGTTAATCTCCTTTGGCAACACCCTCACAGACACACTCAGGAACAAGACTTTACATCCTTCAATAATCCAGTCAAGTCGACACTCAATATTAACCATCACACCCTTTTTTTTTTTTTTTTGATGCTGGAGTTGGGTGGCACGATCTCTGCTCACTGCAACCTCTGCCTCCTGGGTTCAAGTGATTCTCCTGCCTCAGCCTCCTGAGTAACTAGGATTACAGGCATGCACCACCATGTCTGGCTAATATTTGTAGTTTTAGTAGAAATGGGGTTGCACCATGTTTGCCAGGCTAGTCTCGAACTCCTGACCTCAAGTGATCCACCCGCCTCTGCCTCCCAAAGTGCTCAGATTACAGGTGTGATCCACTGTGCCCGGCCCACATACACTTTTTAATCAGATTTATTTTCTTTAATCAGATGTTTTTTTCTTTTTGAGCTGTTTGAGCTCCTTATATATTCTGGTTATTAATCCCATCAGATGGATAGTTTGCAAATATTTTCTTCCATTCTGTGGATTTGCCTCCTCACTTTATTGTTCCCTTCACTCTGCAGAAGCTTTTTGGCTTGGTGTAATCCCATTTGTCTATTTTCATTTTGCTCTCTGTGCTTTTGAAGTCTTACACAAAAAAATATTTGCCCAGACTAATGTCCTGGAGCAATTCCCCAGTGATTTCTCCTGGTAATCTCATAGTTTCAGGTCTTAGATTTTTTTTTTTTTTTTTTTTTTTGAGATGGAGTCTTGCTCTGTCGCCAGACTGGAGTGCAATGGCGCGGTTTCAAATCACTGCAACCTCTGCCTCTGGGTTCAAGCAATTCTCCTGCCTCAGCTTCCCAAGTAGCTGGGATTATTACAGGTGTCCACCACCACGCCCGGCTGATTTTTTGTCTTTTTAGTAGAGAGGGTTTTACCACGTTGGCCAGGCTGGTTTCTAACTCCTGACCTCGTAATCTGCCTGCCTCGACCTCCCAAAGTGCTGGGGTTGCAGACGTGAGCCATTGTGCCCGGCCTCAGGTCTTAGATTTAAGTCTTTAATAGATTTTTGTTTAATTTTTTTTGGGGGGGAAACGGATTCTCCCTCTGTTGCCCAGGCTGGAGTGCAGTGGAGTGCCCTTGGCTCACTGCAACTTTCACCTCCCGGGTTCAAGCAATCCTACAGGCTCAGCCTCCCTAGTAGGTGAGACTACAGATGCACGCCACCACACGCAGCTAATTTTTGTATTTTTAGTAGAGATGGGGTTTCACCATGTTGGCCAGACTGATTTCGAACTCCTGACCTACGGTGATCCATCTATCTCAGCCTCCCAAAGTTACAGGCATGACCCACTGCGCCCTGTCCTAATTTTGGTATTTTTAGTAGAGACTGGGTTTCGCCATGTTGGCCAGGCTGGTCTCGAATTCCACCTCAGACAATCCCACCTCAGCCTCCCAAAGTGTTAGGATTACAGGCATGAGCCACCGCGCCTGGCATCTCACTCCATCTTCTTTACCTCTCCCGTGTCAGTTTTATTTTCCTCTTCTTTTCTAGACACTTTCTTCCTCAAGATAGGGGGCAGAGTGGGAAAATGACCATAGTCATAACCTATGGGAAGGACCCACCCAAAAGGAAAAGGCTTCTTGTACCCAGGCTGCAGATCCAAAACCCCAAGAAAGGACTCTCATTGGTTTAGTCTACATTCCACGTGAAGCATGATGATTGGTCCAGCCTGATTCGTTTGCCCATCTCTCACTCATCACCGTGGTGAGGAGGGGGCACACAGGTGACGGTCAGCTCCTATCCTAAACGGGGGAGGGGATTAGGGTGATTATTCTCTGAATCCCAGTAAACGAAGTTTCAGTTAACCGTCACATCAACTCTTCCTATGGCTGGAAGAGTGGAATAAGGAAAGAGGTCGTCCGTCTAGATGTCAAGAAAATGGTTGGGGAGTATGGTCTCTCCAGCCCAGTCAAGGTCAGGTCCCTGCATACAGCAGGCGTCAATTTAATGCTTATAGAATGAATGAATGAATGAATACCCTTTTCCCAGAGGCTGTCCTGGAACCGTCCTAATTTCACACACCATGAACGGATTAAGAATGAAGCAGGGCCAGGGGTCCCGCCCACCAGTTGAGTGCGTCTTAGGACGCCGAGACTAGACCCGGCAGGGCGGAACCTCTGGGCGTTAGGTGACACCTTGGAGACCCCGCAACCTCGAAGGGCCCAGTCAGGGGCGGGGCTTCAAAACCCCCAGCATTTGGATTAAACCATCTTTCAGCGGTTAAGGGGAGAGCCGAGAAAGCCTTTCTGCACCTGTCGCCAACCTTTTTACCACTCCCCGGCAACAGAAACGATGTATTTGCTTCACTGCCACGCCGTTACCCCTTCGCCTCGTTACCCCTCAAAGCCCCACGCGACCACAGAGTCCAGACTTCCCCACCACCACCTCGCAGTGGCTCACCCCAGTTTGACGCATTGCAGGGAAGGCCGAACCAATGGGCGCCGCGCTCTCATTTCCGCCATGGGATGGTCCCAATAGTGACGCGGCTCACAGAGAGACGCATTACGCATCGCCGAGAAGTGCCCCTCCGCCGGGGAGGAATGTGAAGTGTACCCGGGAGGCGGGGCACGCGGCGAGGGAAAGTAGTCCGGCGGCGGGAGCGCGAGCGCGCGCGCCCGGCGACAAATCCTGGCCCTGTGTGGGGTGGGGACGAGCGATCCGCGGGCCCGCTGGTGCAGAGCGGGGCGCGGAGGGATCCGTGAGAGCCGCAGTGCGGCGGCGCGCGGGCCGGGCGGGGCGGGGCGGGCCGGGCCGAGCGAGGCGGGGCGCGCGCAGCGGCCGTTGAAGGACCGTTGGGGCGGGCGGCGGCGGCAGCGGCGGCGGCGGCGGCGCGCGTTGCGGGCAGTGAGTGTGGAGGCGCGGACGCGCGGCGGAGCTGAAACTGCTGCAGCTGCTGCCGCCGCCGGAGGAACCTTGATCCCCGTGCTCCGGACACCCCGGGCCTCGCCATGGTGAGTGAGGCTGGGGGGCCACAGAGGCTGCGAGCTCTGAGGCGGGCTTGGCGCGGCAGGACCCCCGAGGGGGCGACGGAGCCCAGAGTGGGGTTCGGCCGGGCCCGCGAGAGCCTCGGCACCCCTTTCTAGCCTCGTTGTCGGGGCCGTTGAGCCCAGAGCGGGACATCTGGATCCCCAAAGGTTTCCAGAAGCGACTTTAGAACCAAATGGGATATTTAAGCCCCCACATGGGTGTCTGAGCCCCCAAAGGGGATATTTGAACCCCTAATGGAGGATCAGAACCCTCAAAGGGAACCCCTCAAAAGGATTTTGTACCCTGGATGGGGCGATAGGTTTCAGAATGAAGGTGTTTGCACCCCAGGGAACCGAATAAGAAAGATGGGCTGGGGAGGGGAGCTATTTAGGCCCCAATGGAGGCGTTTGGTCCTGAGAGGATGCGGGGAACCGGGGACGAAGGGAGGCTGGGCTGCTCCTGGATGGGGTGGCGGAGAGTAGCTGGGCCTGGGCGGAGAGGGGCGGCTCCTGGGAGGCAGAGGAGAGGGTCAGGGATGGGCGGTCACTTCTACAGATGAGACTCCCGAGGGTGGGGGAGGGTGGTCTCCAAAGCCCAGCACTGCAGAGGAGGAGGAGGGTGAGGTGCAAGTTTACGGGAGGAAGACCCTGGGGTGGGTGGCAGCAGAGATTAGAAGATGCTCTTGAAGGCTTCCGGGACGGAGAAGGATCGGCGTCGTGGAGGTGGTGAAAAGGGATAGTGAGAGCGGGGCTTTGCCAGTGGTCGGGGGTCAGGGACCCTTGGAGTAACTTTGGAGGTAGCTAGGAAAGGTTCCGAGGTTACTCGTGGGTTAAGACTGTTGCACTGGAAAGACAGGATTTTCTAATGGGCTGGGAGTGTTGTGTTTGGGTCCACGAGAAGATGGGTTTCCAAGGTGAGGGGTGGGGGAGGACTTGGGCTTGAGTGGTTGGGAGGTGAAGTGGAAGGAGAAAATGAATGGCAGTGAGAGTGGGCCTAGCTTTGGGGGTGGGGGTGGGTAACACCCTGCCAGTCTCCAGGGATAGGCCAGGACAAAGACGGCTCAGTGTGAATTGGGAGTGGGCTGCAGGGACTGGAGGAAGCTATCCCCCTTCCCCAGGAAGAACGCGGCTGGGTGGAAGGCACTGGGCAGTGGGAGCAGGTGGGCGGAGCCGTTCAGGTCCCTATTGCGCACTGAAGCCTCATGAAATGGGGATGGAAGATCAAAGTTTGGGGTGCCTCAAATAAGCCAGCTTTTTCAAGCCTAGAAGCCTCACCCCCTCGCTGTCCGTTTCAGGCCAAGAGCGCTGCCTTTTCCCTACAGGAGCGCCGGTTTTCTCATGATCCCCGGCCCCACACAACATGCTGCACCTCCTCACTTGTGCCAAATGACAGTGCAGTACAGTGTGGCGTCAGTGACAATCAGATGCCTATTCCTGTGCCCTCGGCGTGGGGGCTGCAGAGCTTGATCAGAGATTGCCTCTGGGGGGACCCCTTGATTGGCCCAAGGGCCACTTGTTCCATTCAGGACCCTCACTGAGTGCTTCTATTAATTCACAGCTAGGGCTTTGAGAGAAAACCAGCAGACTAGTTCTTTCCTACTCCCTGCCACCCACAACACCCACAGCCCTCCCAGGCTTAGCCTGGGAACCAACCGTGCACAGCCATCCTCCCTGGCAAGGCTGGAGAACAGGCAGCGGCTGCCGTGTATCAGATCTCATACTTGCTGACACAGACCTGATGGCTCCTCTTGCCGCTACCCCATTTTCCCCCAGCAGAACCTGGCTAAAGGGGCCCTGAAGCGCTAGCGGGCTGACTACTCCCAGAATAGGACCAGAGCTTTGTCCAGAACTACTTTCTCTTTCCGTTTGTAATCAGCAAGGTAGAGGTGGGACAAGTCACTGTTAACTGGCCTTGGACTTTGGCCTGAGCTCTGTGGCTCCTCCTTGGCCCCAGTGAGGGGCCCTGGCCTTGGTTTCTGATCTCATCTAACACTGCTCTCTGGCATTGGATGGGGGCTGGGGCAACGCAGAGAAATCATACCCTCTTCCCTCCCCAACCTCATGCTTTTTTTATTTCTTGTCAGCCCCTTGCCGGAGCCTAAGATGAGGGATAAGGAAGCAGGAGACCGTCTGAGTTATTTTGGAAACAGTTTTTGTTGAAAGCTTAGTCTTCAGGTCTTGAAAGGGAAGAAACCTTGGGCAAGGATCAATGATCTCTTCTTAGGCGACTGGTTTTCTGGGCAGCAACCTTGCTTGAGATCTGTAGCTCGGAGCTGGGACCTTTCCTTGACCAAGCAGGGAAGTGGGTCTCCTACATGGGAGGGAGAGTGTCTGACAGGCTTTCCATGCAGAGCCACGCCTATTTGCAGCAACCCAGTGACAGAACTGAACATGGCAGTGCCTCATCTGCAGCTTCCAGCTTTTTGGTGGGGACTGGCAAATGCTGGCCTTCAGAGCCGCTCGGGGCAGTCTGCAGCCTGTCACAGCCTCCTCACCCCCACCCCCAGCCCCTTATAGTGCTGCCCAGAGGTCAGGAGAGCTGGACTTCTTGCAGGGCGGAGCAGTGGGGTGGGAAGGCCCTGACCGGGCTTGGTTTTTCCATTCTAGGCCAGGGGAAAGAATGAAAAGCAGATGGGATGGCAGCCGCCTCCCCACACTGCTGCCTTCCTTTCAGTTCTTCCCCTGCCCCTCCCCAGGCATTGCCTGGCCTCAGTAACCAGAAGCCCATCCTCCCTTCTCACTTTCCCCAAGCCTCTTCCTCAGGTGTCAGGACCTAAGGGATGGCCTCAGGCTTCTTTGCCCCTGATGGGAGGTGGGGGGCAGGTGGAGCAAGGGTTTCATGGGCCTGGGGCTGCCAGCTTGGCGTTTAAGAGCCCAACCACGCTGTCTTTTTTTAAGGGCAATGCAGAAGAATCTTCATTTGGCCTCCTCACCTCCCCTTTAGACTTTGGACTTTCCCAGAATGTGCATGTGTGCCGTTTTCCTTCTCTACCTTCCTCTTTCCCCCTCTCTCAGCCCTCTCCCTTCTGTGATCAACAACTTTGATTACCTCTCCCTTTCTGCCTATTTGGGGCTTGGCCTCAGGTTCCTCTTCCTTTAGTTTTAGTTTTTGGAGTTTTCGAACTTTTTTAGATCAGTGATTGTTAATATTTGGGACAGAGGTGGGGGTGGGGGAGGCAGTGGTGGTTTGTTCTTAGTCTCTGGAACCTCTCTGTAGAATACTGCAAATTCACATAATAGTTTGCTTCCGTTTCTGAGGCTCTCAGCCTCAAGACTAGAACTTGCTGTAGTCTTGGAGCCCCTTTCCCTTACTGAGAAAGGAAGAGGAACAGACCCACCGTAGTCCTGGGATGGAGATGTCTTTTTCACAGCATCAACAAAAACCAGGGAAAATTTGTCTTTTGGCTGTTAAAGCTAAATGTTGGGATTCATCCTCCCCCACCCCCTGGTCTAGCTCCTGCCCCATAGGATGGCTATGCCTGGCTGGTGCCCAGCACACCAGTGCAGGAGAAGCCAGTTCCTGCATCTCCTCCCCACCCCCAAACCCCGCATGCAGCAAGGGCTGCCTGCCACCGACTGGCCAGTCCCCAGAGTGGCCAAGCCGGAAAGGGTTAAAAACTGCAGCGCAAGCCGACTTAAGTCATCTGCTGCTGCTGCCCGCTGCAGTCCTCTCCCTGATGTTTGTCCCTCCTGCCCAAAAGAAACAGAACCGAATGATGCCCTGTGCCCCCACTGTGCATAGCGGGGTGGAGCGGCTACCTCCAGCCTGACCAGAGTTCTTCCAGGCACTCAAGCAACTCAGGGCTGCCAGTTAGGAGAATTATTGCCGCTTGGGTCAACTCTGCCTGAGCCAAGCGCCTCCAAATAGGTGACACAGAAACTAGCAGAGATAGCCCCAGACATCATCCCTCTGCCCTACCCAAGGACTGGCCTGCTTCAGTTTGGAGGCTTCTAGAGCTTCTTGATGAGGCCTCCAGGGCAACTGCTCCCTTCACTCAGCCTCTGGGGCTCCCACTGGTGAGATGTAAACCTGTGCCACACCAGTGCTGCTGGTTTGGGGTTGGGGCAGGCATTTCACGTGCCCCTGTGTCTCCCACATGCTGAGTTGAGATTGGAAGCCCATGGGTCTGGGAAGCTTCAGGGCCCTGCATCCAGCAGGCCTGAGTGTCCAGCCCACCCTGGAACCCAGCTTTCTGAATCACCAGACTTTATCATCAGGCCCTGGGTCTGCCTCAGACCCTGACTCTGGCGTGCTCCTCCCTGGCTGGGCAGGAATGCCATGTGTAATTGGCCTCACCGGGGCCTGGGGACTGGACTAAGTGAGGAAGATGCATCCTTGCTGTCCAGCCTGGTGACTGACTTTCCCTTTCCTGCTTTTCCAGGCTGACCAGCTGACCGAGGAGCAGATTGCAGGTGAGTGTTACCCTGTCCCCCTCATCTTAGCTCAGGAAAGCCTCCATATCCCCAGCCAAATATTGGCCACTGAGGAGTGAAATCTGATAGGTGAACCTGTGTATCCCTTGTGTCACCTAACACTATGCCTTGTGCCTAGAATGCTGATAAATGTGTGTAAGAGCACACCAGTGCCCTGATGACAGCAAGCCCCATGGCCCTGAGACAGGCCTTTACCAAACATCAAAGGCTGTCTTCCTCTCCTGGGCCTGGGTCATCTAGGGGCTTGATATTGGTGGCTATAGGAAGAACCCAGCTCTCTCCCCCAGCTTCAGCTAGATTGGCTTAGAAGGTGAGCTGCCTGCCTCCCTGTGGGCCTGTGGAGCTCCTGTCCCACTTTAGGAGCCGCCCAGGAGCTGGCTCGTCACTCCCACCTCTGCACTTGCCTGCGCTGTGCACTTCCTTCCGCATGTGCCGGCGCCTGCCGGTCCTGCTGATGGAAATGCCTCCCCAGCACTTTGCATGGGCAGATCCTTCTCATCCCTTAACTCAGATGTCCCCTTGGAGAGGCCTTCCCGGACCCCCATCTCAAGTACACAGCCTTCCTTTACTCTCCTTCACTTTATTTTCTTTATTTTCTGGGCGGGAACCTTTCTTGAGATCTGTAGCTTGGAGCTGGGACTTTCCTTTGACCAAGCAGGGAAATGGGTCACTCCCACTTCTGCTGTCAGAAATTGTTTTCTTATGCCTTCACCTGTTGTATCTCCTGTCACTAGATGTGAGTTCTATGAGTTTGGGACTTGGTTTTGTTGGTCCCTGCCATAGCCTAGAGTGCCTAGAACACAGGCTAAACAAATAAACGATCATCTCTCTCTCCGCAAGCTAGAAGAAATCCCTGGATCTCATCTAATTCATTTCTTTAGCCTTTCCAAAACCCCAGAAGGGACAGCTACAGGAACTATTATGTAATCACGTATCAGTGCCCACCCCCCCGCAAACTGAGCTGCCCAAGAGAGAAAGAGCAACTCTTGGTTTATTTCCATAGCCAGGGGCCAGCACACAGTAGAGCAAGAGGAGCAATCCAGAGAATGGGCCTCTGCTCCCCACCAGCTACTCAGTACCCAGCTTTGCTGTCAGGTTCAGCCGGCTATGTGACAAGTACTGAAGGCCCAGCTTCAGTGAAAGGGGGCAGGAATGGACTTCCCTTCTCTCCTTTCTCCCCCCAACCCCCAACACAGAGTCACCTTTGCAGCTTCAAAATTTTGTCCCGAGGTGGCTATGGAGACCCCTGAGAAAAGCCAGAGGATGGCCTGGTTTAGTGATCATGAGCTCAGGGTGCCCACATGACCCACTCCCTGCCCTCCCCAAGAACAACAAGGCCTCAGCCCAGAGAGGCGCCAGCCTCCCCAAAGAGACTCTTGCCATATCCTTAGGGCCCAGAGGCTCAGTGCCACAGCTGCCCAGCTGTGCACGTCCCTCCCAATGCACCTGCCACCCTGCTCCCAACTCTCTGGCCTTGTGCATAAACATAAACAGTCTGCTTTTCACCCTGTCCCCATTAGCAAACTGCCCACTGCCTCACCCCAGCCCACACCCTCTGGGAATAGGCTGCTAGGCATCTGTTCTTTGAGGGCTTGGGGGTAGGGGAGCACCAGGTGCCAAAATGGGCCCAGTGGGAGGGCAAGAGCCATGTGCTTCTCTCCCTGCTCCTGATGCGGCCCCAGCTGTGGCCTTCCCACTCAGCACTGCTAGCTCCTCATCCTCCTGGCTTGGCAGCCGTCCCCTCGCCTTCCACCCCCCCCACCCACCCCACGCACCGTCCGTCAGCCATGTTCTGCTGCCGACCACCCCCACGCTTACCACAGTGGCTCAGCTCCTCTGGAAGCCGATAGCACCCACGGCAGGGAAAAAGGCTGGCAGTACCAGTCAAAAAGGAGTGGATGCCTGCATTTCCTCTTCAGGCCAGCCAGGGGCATTCTGCAGCCTCCTCCTCCTCATCCCAGCCAACCGACCCTGGCTAACACACTCAGATGAAGAGTCCTTTCAGCTCTCATTCACTCCTTGACTTTGGTCCCTTTCATTATTTAAGGGAGAAGCCGAAGCCAGAGACCAAACAGAAATGTAGAATAATCTAAGGACAGCTGTCAGCCCATTTTGTCCCTAATGTCTCCACTGGCTGGTGAGAGAAATCGCTTTACCTGCCACAGTGTAGATGTTCAGTAACTGTTGAATGAAGGTTGGAAGGGCTCTGCCCTAAGCACTGAGGAGAGAGAGCTGGTTGGGTGGGACTTGAAGTCTGTCTCAGTTTCTTTAGGTGGGACTGATGCCCTTGGCCTTCCACCAAGGAAGGGGTCCAGCATCCAGAGATAAGGATTCTCCTATGGGCCTTGTGACCTCTGACTCCTTCCCCTTCTTCCCCCAGAGTTCAAGGAGGCCTTCTCCCTCTTTGACAAGGATGGAGATGGCACTATCACCACCAAGGAGTTGGGGACCGTGATGAGATCCCTGGGGCAGAACCCCACTGAAGCAGAGCTGCAGGACATGATCAATGAGGTGGATGCAGATGGTAAGCCCCACAGAGTGCTGGGCAGCCCTACTCCTGGTCACCCCAAGTGACTGCAGGGAGCCTCCCTCAGGGTTATGGATGAGCCTGTATCTGTCAGGGTCCAGGCAAAGAGCATTCCCCCATCCTTTCCCCACCTTCCAGGGAACGGGACCATTGACTTCCCAGAGTTCCTGACCATGATGGCCAGAAAGATGAAGGACACAGACAGTGAGGAGGAGATCCGAGAGGCGTTCCGTGTCTTTGACAAGGTAAGCAGCCCTCTCCAGGGACGGTTCTGAGCCTGACGCCAGCCTTCAGGCAGGCAGATGGAACTGGAGCCACGGAGCTACCACTTCCAGGAGGCCCAGGTCCCGGTGCCAGCCTGGCTGTCAACCTGCTCTGCCACCTCAGGCAGCCTCCCTCACTGTGCTCACTGCTGAGGGATGGTGATGACAGCCGCCCCTCTCACTGCCTCTCTCCCTGCTGGGAGAAGTGCCTAGTAAAAGCCTTTATCCCCAACCCCCAGGATGGGAATGGCTACATCAGCGCTGCAGAGCTTCGTCATGTAATGACGAACCTGGGGGAGAAGCTGACCGATGAGGAGGTGGATGAGATGATCAGAGAGGCTGACATTGACGGAGACGGCCAGGTCAATTATGAAGGTGAGTCAAGACCAGGCTTGATCTCCAGGAAAAGAAGAGAATGAAAGCTTCAGGAATAAGCCCCCAGATCCCTCATGCTGGGCAGGGCCAGTCGCCACTCAGCCTGCTCACCTGACCTCCTCTCTCTCTGCTTCACTCCACAGAGTTTGTACAGATGATGACTGCGAAGTGAAGGCCCCCGGGCAGCTGGTGATGCCCATTCTCTTGATCTCTCTCTTCTCGCGCGCGCACTCTCTCTTCAACACTCCCCTGCGTACCCCGGTTCTAGCAAACACCAATTGATTGACTGAGAATCTGATAAAGCAACAAAAGATTTGTCCCAAGCTGCATGATTGCTCTTTCTCCTTCCCTGAGTCTCCCTCCATGCCCTCTCATCTCTTCCTTTTGCCCTTGCCTCTTCCATCCATGTCTTCCAAAGCCTGATGCATTCATAAGATGAAGCCCTCCCCAGTTCCCCTTGGGGAGCCTCTGCCCTCCTCCAGCCCGGGTGGCTCTCCTCCATTTTGGTTTGTTTCTTCCTGTTTGTCATCTTATTTTGGGTGCTGGGGTGGCTGCCAGCCCTGTCCCGGGACCTGCTGGGAGGGACAAGAAGCCCTCCCCCAAGCAGAAGAGCATGCTCTTTGCTGTTGCATGCAACCAGCCCTGTGACTGTGTGTGCAGATCCCAGCAGCCTGTTGGGGCAGGGGTGCCGAGAGGCATTCCAGAAGAACTGAGGGGGCGTTGAGGAATTGTGGCATTGACTGGATGTGGCCCAGGAGGGGGTCGAGGGGGCCGACTCACAGAAGGGAACTGACAATGGGCAACACTCACATCCCTCTGGCTGCTGTTTTGAAACCATCCAATTGGCTTTCAGAGGTTTGGCTGGGTGGGGACTGCTCATTTGGCCACTCTGCAAATTGGACTTGCCCGCGTTCCTAAAACGCTCGCGAGCTGTTCTGTAAATACCTGGTGCTAACATCCCATGCCGCTCCCTCCTCACTAGCACCCACCACCCTGAGGGCCCATCCTAGGAATGGGTGTGGGGATGGTCGCTTTGTAATGTGCTGGTTCTCCTTTTTTCTTCTTTCCCTTCTACGGCCCTTAAAACTTTCATTTTGTCCAAAACCATGCCGGGCTAGCTAAAGGGTGGGGAGAGAAGATGGAGATGGGCCCCACCACACTCTCAAGAGAACGCACCTGCAATAAAACTCTCGTCGGCCAGCTGCCCAGGGGACGGCAGCGACGGCAGCCTCTGCTTCCTGGTCCACTAGCACCTCCCACTTCTCTGTGGTGACTTGGTGCCGCTTCCTCACATCTGTGCTCTGTGCCCTCCTCTCCCCTGCCTCTCCCTTCGCCCACCTGCCTGCCCCCATACTCCGCAGCGGAGAGCATGATCCGTGCCCTTGCTTCTGACTTTCGCCTCTGGGACAAGTAAGTCAATGTGGGCAGTTCAGTCGTCTGGGTTTTTTCCTTTTTCTGTTCATTTCATCTGGCTCCCCCGACCACCTAACCCCCCGCCCCCAACCTTCCCCTCACTGCCCAGGTCGATCAAGTGGCTTTTCCTGGGACCTGCCCAGCTTTGAGAATCTCTTCTCATCCACCCTCTGGCACCCAGCCTCTGAGGGAGGGAGGGACAGGGCATAGTGGGAGACCCAGCCAAGAGCTGAGGGTAAGGGCAGGTAGGCGTGAGGCTGTGGACATTTTTGGAATGTTTTGGTTTTGTTTTTTTTAAACCGGGCAATATTGTGTTCAGTTCAAGCTGTGAAGAAAAATATATATCAATGTTTTCCAATAAAATACAGTGACTACCTGACTTGGCTCCTCCCATCCTGTCTCAGTTTCCGGGCCTGCCCCCCTCCCTCCACCCGACACAGACTCCTTTGGCTCAGACATGGAAGAGCCTCCTCCAAGTTGGCTCTAAAGCTGTGTCCAGTCAGTGCAGCCCAGTGGGCGCCTCAGAATCATAGTTCTGATCCCAACTTGACCGCAAGGTTGTTAAGTTAGAGATAGTCACACAAATGGACTGCAAGAAGAGGACGGAGCCCATCTTGCCACAGGAGAGAAGGGGTCAGCCCAGTCAGGTAGCAGGTCTGAGATGAGACCTGAAAGATGGGCTATTCTCCAGCTGGATAGGGGAAGAAAGGGCATTCCAGTTGGAGGGAATGGCCTGTATGGAAGACCTGAGGCAAGAGGAGCCCAGACACTGAGGAACCAAAGGAAATCGAGCAAGGCTGGGTGACAGTCCCAAGCAGCATGGGGCCCAGCTGGACAAGAGAGGAAGGCAGGGGCGGGCCCTGCAGTGGCTGAACCTCTCAGTGCTTGGGGAGAGGGGTGCCATTCACTGCTGTGGTCTCACAGGCAGCCAAAACATGCCAAGTTTGGATCTGCAGTGGTGAGAAAGGCACAGTCCTGTCCCACAAGGCGGGCATGGGGCTCTTGGCTAGAAGATTTTAAACCAAAGCCCAAAACAATTGCAAACCACACAAGGCAGAGTATTAACCACTGTGCGGTCACAGCCAAATTACAAACCACAGAAAGCTCAACTTCCTCATGACAAGTGGGAATGTAAAGAAGACCTCCTTGCCAGGCGCGGTGGTTCACGCTGTAATCCCAGCACTTTGGGAGGCAGAGGAGGGTGGATCACAAGGTCAAGAGATCGAGACCATCCTGGTCAACATGGTGAAACCCCGTCTCTACTAAAAATACAAAAAATTAGCTGGGCATGGTGGTGCGTGCCTGTAATCCCAGCTACTCAGGAGGCTGAAGCAGGAGAATTGCCTGAACCCAGGAGGCGGAGGTTGCGGTGAGCCGAGATCGTACCATTGCACTCCAGCCTGGGTAATAAGAGTGAAACTCCGTCTCAAAAAAAAAAAAAAAAGACCTCCTTAACTGGGCTGGAATCCTTAACCGGGAGTAACACATGCCTGTAATCCCCGTACTTGGGAGGCTGAGGCAGGAGGATTGCTTGATCCCAAGAGTTTGAGACCAGCCTGGGCAACACAGCAAGATTCTCCCAGTCCAGTGGGGCTGTAGTGGAGGGATAGGTTGGAATTCTCAGCGGCTTTTCGTATTCTCCCTTGGGGTAATGGGGAATGAGAGATTCCCCATTGTCTTTAACTTAAAGCATGCTCTTTAACTTGCGAGCTTCTCACACAACCATAGGTGCTGGGCAAGGGTGGAGCAGAGACAGAAGTCAGTGAAATAAAAAGAGGTCCTTCCACTCATCTCCACTTGGCCTTGGAGGGCAGGAGAAGCCTGGCCCAACCCAATGTTGGGAGTAGCAGGCCATTTTCCAGAGCTCCAACTTCTGTCCCCGCTTTTCCTGCCACCTGATTGTGGCTCAGCATTTGGTGGTACAGTGGAGACGGTAGAGTGTAGTGGACAGGAACTTGGGGTCTGGGCACAACCACCTGCCTTAGTATTCTGGTGCTCAGAAAGTGAGCATCCACCGCCATTGGCTGGGTGCTTCCTGCTTCGATGAGCTGATGGATGCAGAGCTTCGAAGCTTCCTGCTTCACGGCTGCCTTCAAAGTTCTGCATCCATGAGCTCATCAAAGCCATAGAGCAACCACTTGGGCTGGATGCTATTAGTTCCCATCTTGCTGACCGAGGCCCAGAGGAGTGAAGTCAACTACTGCAAGGTTACAAAGTAGAAAGTGACACAGCCGGAATCTGAATCAGATCTGACCCTGAGGAGTCCAAGCACCCAACAGCTGGGCTTTAGGGTAAATGGTAGTTTAAAAACAGACCGATTTCAGGCCTAGGCGGGTGGATCACGAGGTCAAGAGATCGAGACCATCCTGGCCAAAATGGTGAAACCCTGTCTCTACTAAAAGTACAAAACTTAGCCGGGCATTTGGCATGTGCCTGTAGTCCCGGCTACTTGGGAGGCTGAGGTGGAAGAATCGCTTGAACCCGGGAGGCAGAGGTTGTAGTGAGCCGAGATTGTGCCACTGCGCTCCAGCCTGGCAACAGAGCAAGACTCCATCTCAAAAAAAAACAAAAAACAAAGCAGATGGATTTCAGGAAGGCGAGAGTCAGTAGGGAGGCCAGGCTGAGGTTGGCATCACAGCGGTGGGGTCTGAAATGGGAGCTGCCCCCTTAGCAGTCAGGGTGCCTGGGGAAAACTCTGGTCTGTAGTTGAGTCAAAGATGGGCTGTGGTGTCCACAGAACTGAGCTCAAATCCGAGTTTGAGACTCATTCGCTAGAGAGTCTTCGTGTTCACTAAGTCTCAAGGGGCCACCTCTGCCACATCAAAAACCTTGGAGCAGCAATTTCACTTCCCTCGGCCTCCGTTTACAAGTCTGCAAAATGGCAAAGGATAATAATCTGTTAAGGAAGATGATACAAATCGCCACTAACTTGGGTTGTGCCAAACTTTTTTTTTTAGACAGAGTCTCACTCCGTTGCCCAGGTGGGAGTACAATGGCGCTATCTTGGCTCACGACAACCTCTGCCTCCCAGGTTCAAGCAATTCTCTTGCCTCAACCTCCCTAGTCGCTGGCATTACAGGGGTATACACCATGCCTGGCAAATGTTTGTATTTTTAGTAGAGACAGGGTTTCTCCATATTGGCCTGGCTGGTCTCAAACTCCTGACCGCAGGTGATTCACCTGCATTGGCCTCCCAAAGTGCTGGGATTATAGGTGTGAGCCTTTTTTTTTTTTTTTTTTTTAAGATAGAGCCCAGGCTGGAGTGCAGTGGTGTGATCTCAGCTCACTGCAACCTCCCCCTCCCAAGGTCAAGCAATTCTCCTGCCTCAGCCTACCCAATAGCTGAAAGTACAGGAGCCCGCCACCACACCCGGCTAATTTTTGTGTTTTTATTTAATTTGATGTATTTATTTATTTTTGAGACAGAGTCTTGCTCTGTCACCCAGGATGGAGTGCAATGGCGTGATCTCGGCTCACTGCAACCTCCGTCTCCCAGGTTCAAGCGATTCTTTTGCCTCAACCTCCCGAGTAGCTGGGATTACAGGCACCTGCCACCATGCCCGGCTAATTTTTGTATTTTTAGTAGAGACGAGGTTTCATCGTGTTGCCCAGGCTGGTCTCGATTTCTTGACCTCATGATCTGCCCACCTCAGCCTTTCAAAGTGTTGGGATTACAGGTAAGAGCCACTGAGCCCAGCCCATGCCCAGATAGTTTCTTTTGTATTTTAGTAGAGATGGGGTTTCACCATGTTGAACAGGGTGGTCTCAAACTTCTGAGCTCAGGCAATCTGCCTGCCTTGGCCTCCCAAAGTGCTAGGATTATAGGCGGGAGCCACCAAGCCCAGCCGTGCCAAACTACCATCATCTCACCTAGTTCACACCCAGGTTGGATGGACTCATACTAAAACGTAGCACCTGCTCAAGCTACACCTGCCCCGGGCATGCCGACAGGAGTCACTGGAGAAATCTGGCAGTAGAGGAGTGGAGGCTGGGCAGGTGAAGCCTCTTGCATCACACCACACTTCTTTGAAGCAGCTGGGCTGGATCTCAGAGCCCAGTGCACTCGAATCGAAACCCCCAAGCCATCTCCTACTGCATCCCGGTACCCATGCTTCTCAGCTGCCTATCAGTAGTTTCCTCCTTGGGCCCTATGTTTTTGAAAGACTTTTACTCCCAGACCAGCTATATTATTCAATAATCATGACTTCTCTTTCCCATTTTTTATTAATCAAAAACACATAGACCGCACTCAGCTTCTAATGGCCCCTGGGCAAGCGCTGAGGGGAGTCGGCTCCAGCCCAAAGTAGAGAAATGTCTGGACCGGGAGTCATTTCCAGTTCAGCCTGGCAGGTCGACTACACCAGCTCAAAGCCTGGCCTAAGGAAGTGACTAGACAAGGGGACACACCAGAGACGCCCAACCAGGGCCCTCTGAGGACTCTCAGGGTCCCCTGACTTCCCAATGGGTGGCTCTGGGGCCACTTCTGAGTGTCACTCCCAGTGTGACCAGCAGGTGGGGCAATGACCACAGAAGACCCTGAAGAGCTGCAACTCCCAGGCCCAGCCCATGGCAGGAGGGTGTGTGCACGTGTTTAAGTCCCATCTGTGGGTCAGGCCGGGAGCTAGGGAGATGGGAATGAATAAAAAAAATTAAATCATAAATGAATCAAGTCCCCTGGAGTCCCCAGTTCCCACACATCACTTCCTGAGCCCCACCCCAGACTAGGGCATGTGCCTGGAGCAGTCACCCTGTGTCTGCTGGTTTTAGCTAACTGCAGATCAAAAAACTTCAAAACAGTCCAGGTGCGGTGGCTCAACCTGTAATCCCAGCACTTTGGGAGGCCAAGGTGGGTGGATCATGAGGTCAGGAGCTCGAGACCATCCTGGCATGGTGAAACCTCATCTCTATTAAAATATAAGCAGGTGGGTATGGTGGTGTGTGCCTGTAGTCCCAGCTACTCAGGAGGCTGAGGCAAGAGAACTGCTTGAACCTCGGAGATGGAGGTTGCAGTGAGCCAAGATTGTGCCACTGCACTCTAGCCTGGGCAACAGAGAGAGACTCCATCTCAAAAAATAATAATAATAAATAAATAAAATGATACAGATTTTAAAATACTGCGGTATAATAACTACAGAGCATTTGCATTGAATTGGGTGTTATAGGTAATCTAGAAATTAGTTAAGGTATAAAGGAGGACGTATGTAGGTTATAAGCAAATACAACACCGCTGTATATAAGGAATTTCAGCATCCACAGATTTTGGTATCCCAGGAGGGTCCTGAAACCAGTCCCCCAAAGATACTAAGGGATGACTGTCCATGTTTTCACAGGTCTTTGCACTGTGCCCCCTTAGTACAGCTTGCAATTTGGTATTTCAGC